GCTGACGAAGAAATTTCAGATATGACCTTTAACAGAAATCAGTGTGCTCTGTGTAGAGGATAAATGTATGTGGGTAAAACATGAACACACTCCTGTCTCTTCAATACAAAGACATTTCTGTTATACACATGTACCTCCCTTCAGAGATACACAACCTCTCCAAAACTATACGTTCTGTGTACTACTGCAGGTTAGTGACATATATTTTAACTGTAATGACTTAGTGGTCTCCAAATGTCAGCGACTATTTCTAGAAAGTTTTTATTGCAGTCTCAGCTTCATCTTCAATTGCCTTGTTGACTTTTCAAATACCTAAAGATGCAATACTGTCCCACACCATTAATTTGTGACTCCTTTCTACTCTGGCCTTAAGAAAAAAAAAAAAAAAAAGGTGTTTCCTTCATCTAATTACATTATGCCCCTATTACATGCTGGTAAACAGTATTTCTTAAATACAGCAGTTTCCAGTAGGGCTTCAAAGTAAAGTTTCACAGCACAAAATAGACCCCAAAATGCCATTAGTATAAAAGCATTACACTATAAGGGTAAATTCATAAAACATTAGCCATTGAAGTCTACATTTAAATCTAGATCACAGATTTTGGAGCTTCAATGTAAAAAAACTGAAAACCAAAATGATCTTCCATCACTAGCAAGAGTTTGACATGCTAAAGCAATAGAGAATTTAAAATGATGATGAAATCATGTTTATCACTTTTAATCATATTCAGGTAATTTCATTATTTCATAGAAAGCATCTCTTTCTGATATTATTACTTCACTAAAATTTGCTGCAAAATTATTGCCTCTTGTTAGGAACCCTCTGAATTTTTCTCAGAAATTTCTTATTTAAAGTATATTTATTTCATTCTATTTTGTGTTCTAGTACAAAATACTGCACGAGCCTGGAAGCATTTGGTGCTTTTCAGCATGCTCATGAAAAGGCAGGTTCATTTAAAATTGTATTTCGCAGAATTACTAATGTACAGTGATGATGCCCCATTTCCATTTAATGTTTATTTCTAGAGCAACAAGTAATAACATTAAATACAACTGAAAAGCCTGGCATGCAACAAACCTGAGTGGAAATAATTAGCACACACTCAACTGTGAATTGGTTTTCATCTGGAGAAAATTAAAATTATAGGGCTGTAGCCCCTAACTCATGTCAAATCTCCACAAATAAATTATGGTCAAGGAAACATTAGCTAACTTTCTAGACAGCAGAGCAAGCTTAGGTATTAGAAAGCTTAAGAAGTTGTTTTGGTTTACTTCTCAGGCGCCACTTCAGTAACCTATTTAAAAGTCAGCCTTGTTCTGTGCTAAAATCAGCCTTTTGCACCATTAGCTTCTTCCATTTCTGAAGAACTACCTTGTATCTACCTGCCACAACCACAGGACTTGATCCAGCCTGGAGCTGGGGGAGGCGGGGGGCAGGTGGAAGTGTGCCTTTCCCAGTATCAGGCAAGACTTAAAAGTCCAGAAGCTAAGCTCTTTTATATGTAGGATAATGATTAAGATGTCTAACATTGCTCCTGAGTTCTGGTTAACTTCCACCTGAAGCAGCCATAGCTGTAATCTTACATCATCATTGTCCTAGGTAGACTTAAGAAAAACCTGTATATATTAACATGCTGGTAAGTAATCCACAGTTTCTAACTGCAGAATTATTTTTACTTACTACTTGAAGTTACATATAAAGCTGCTTTGTAGGAGATTTAAACATATTTAATTGTGATTGCTTAATGTAATTGGTTGCTCCGTACGAAGGGATTACTCTGCTGTGCACTGAATTTGCGATTTACATTTTCATATGGCTGAGAGATCCATTTTGGAAAATTACAGCACCTGAGAATTTTTTTTTCCAGAGAAAATTGAAAAAAAAACCCAACCAAAAATTTATAATTTTCCCCTTTTTCCATATCATTAATTTTATCCTATAAACATACATGCAAATACAAGCTAGCATTAGAAATTATTTAATTAGCAAGGGAGGAAAAGAAATTATTTCAAACAAAATGAGCTAGCCCACAAGTGAAACAAATCATTTCAGCAGACATCATATGCTATCCAGTTTCTGTCACTGGTAATGGCTCATATTTAGAGTAGCCAATTGAGAAGGCAATCTTATTCAGTGTGGCTTTAAACATGTCTGAAACCACTGCCTACAAAACAGATATTAATCACTACTTTACAAATCATGTGAGGGACCCTGCAATAACTGGATGAGTTTGGTTATCCACTACTTAAAACCATAAATGAAGCATCTATACACAGCATCTGTTCTACAACATACTTTTTTCCACAGAATTAACTGTCAAGGTATATACTATTTTTCAGTAGCAAAATCCATCCTTGTTTCTTTCCATCATATTCAAACAGGCAATAGATAGGTAACCTTATTTTGGGGTGCAGTAGAAAAGACATCACAAGCCAACCTTGCCAGCATTGCTCTTCAGAACACATACTTACATTCTTATCTGTATAACTTGCTTTGAGTAAGCAGATTTTATTTTTCCATCATGTGACCACTTAACAGTTTCAAAGAACTAGATATAGTCCAGAGGTGATTTATATTCAGACCCTGAGCAGATAACAAATACCTTTATTATTTTCAGGCATAATTGCCAATATTTTTATTGCTATGCAAATTAATTATTGTAAAGAAAAAAATACCTGGTCAATATGGTTCAGGGATTCATCTAAGTGCAGCAATTCTCATTTTCATGTATTAGACCCAAGCAGTTCACTCTTTCTCCTGTTTTAAAAATCAGTGCGCAGCACCAAGTGGGACAGTACCTCATGGCAACACTGATGTACTTGAGGGTAAACACAGAGTTGATCTCCTTTCTCTTCATGTAATATGGGATTCCCTCACTGCCCAATGCAGTAAGGGAATACAGATGAGTTTATGCACTTATATGCCATTACGCCATTGTCCTTCAGGATACTTTTTGTCACATATGGTTGACTAGTTAAAGCATTCACCCTAGTCAAACGTACAGGTCTAATCTCCCAGCAATTCTACATAGGTTTCTTTCTATGTCCTCATCATTTTTGAGATAGCAACCAATACAAAGCGATGTTTTCCTACAGCTGCCAACTGCAGTTTGGCAAACAAACTACATACTGTATAGCCAGAAAGTGAGTCTATTATGGAAGCCAGCAGCCACACCAGCAATTTTTGGCTGCAACATTGGGAAACATTAGAAGAACTTACTTGGAATTAAACATTTCCCCAAGTCACTAAACTCAAAATACCTATTTCTGAACATGGAAGTCCTGACTGGTAGAAAGGTTCAGATATCTGATATTTCAAAATAAGCAACCTACTCAATAGCTGCTAAAGACAGTGACTGAGAAGCCAGCATACTGCAGGGGTGGTGCACGGCTAAGTAGTATCATTCTTGGAGCAGTAAGTGGTTTGGGACCCTGTCATACAAATTCTATGAGAAGGTACCCTAGTTATATTGGGATTGTATACCTAAACTCTCCCTTCCAAATCATAAGCAAAAGGAGAGGAGGGGAAGGGGGGGGGAGATGAAGAGAAATAAGAGGGGTGCTGCAAAGTTAAAAAAAAATTCAAAAGCATTCTTATTGATGACTTGGTACATTCAGTAATGTTCATGAGAGATAATGCAGAGAAAACAGAGTTCTTGGATCACCAAGAGAAAAATAATTGTATGTGGAAAATCTGCTTCTGATAGCAGCTTGGATACTGATGAAGATCAGATCATCTTCATCATTCCTTCTGATACATACTACAGTGTTTCCACTTATTTAATGTTTCTCAAGTCACTTGGTAAGGAAAACAAAAGTTAAGTTATCCTTAATTATTTACAGAACACCAGTATAAGCAGATGACAGCAGTTAAAACTCTACCCGATTCACATTACAAACCCTTCTGGTTTCGCAGAATCAGCAAAAGTCTTCAGATTACTATCAGCAAGAACTTTCTTCTCAAAGTTTTGAACTACCAGAACTCCCAGTTACAAATAAAGAACTTCTGTTCTTTTATCTTTTTTTAATCCCCATTTTAATGAAATTTCACAAAGATCTCAGAAGACAGCTTTTACAACATCTTTGAAGATCGTCAGCAAGATAGAGAAGTGATCCATGGTAAATTCTGTATTGAAAGGAAAAAGCAACAGCACAAATTTATCACTTACACACCAGAGAACCTGTATGGGAGAGAGGTAAGTGCCTCATCTGCTAGAATAATTTCAGAGTTTATACATTAGATATGAGAACCTGAGCAAGACAATTAGAGGAAGTCAGGCTTCACAAACTCTGCTGCACATAAGATTAATTATCCTTTTACAGCCTTAGTTTTGTTTTTATTTTTATGATCTTTCATGACTCCCAAAGTATGAATGATTTGAATCTGAACTTACTTGTATTTGAATAACGGTAACCCGAGCTTGGAGAAATCAAGGCAAGCTTTGCAATATTATCTAAGCATCCTAACAACAACCTAGAACGTTACAAAACAAAGTAAGAACTTAGCACGTGTGTAAATTGGGTTAACGTAATGCAAGTTGATTTTCACAAACAGGTTTTATTGGAAGCGTTCTGCCTATTCATATTCCATTCAGGCTTAAATACCTTAAAAGGAAGCACTTATTTATGGAAAAGGCCAAGATCCTCTCAGATACGTGGAATGGAAGATAAAAGGCTCAAAGTAGAAAACAAAACCCCCTCATCTAGTGACCCGGATTTACCCTATTAACAGATAGGAGAACACATTGCTATCATAAATGCCCGAATTATTTACTTGATGCATTTATTTGTAATATAAATGACACTGTGCCAGTTAAGTACTCAGCATTCCAGTATCTCATAATCTTGTTGTACTTACATGGAGTAAGTATCCATTACCACTTGGAACACTCATTTAGCCTGCTCAGCTGACTGCTTAATGAGGTCTGGAAAGTAAAAGTCTTATCTGCAAAAAGCCAATGTAGAAAGAAGCATGAGTACACTATTTTTTTTTTCAAAGTACTTGTTCAGTCTTAATGTGAAAAGGAATTAGATTAAGGAGAGCGTTCAAAAACACAGAAATTAAATAAAAGATGAAATATATGTATAGTAATGAAAGCAATGCTCTTTTCCATTTGTTGAATATTGTATTGTTAGAATTTTGTTTTTATAAATACCATTAGGCTTTCAAAAATCTCTCCTAGAAGCTATGCATTCTCCCTCACCCCCACCAAACGAGTTCTTTAGGAATTCCACACAGCAACAGGTCTAGTGCAGCTCCCTTTAACAGCTTTTTTGGAGTGTTTATAATGAGTCAGACTAGTCTATATTTCAGCTCCAGAAATACAGAGTGGGACATCATTAGCTGCATTCACTCAGGTTTTACTTAATGTACTAGTCATCACTAAGTGTTTAAAGGATACTGTCAGTAAATGCTGGCTACCTCCCTTTCACTCGCTACTCATTTCTAGCTACATGCAAGACTCACAAAGCAAACCTGTTACTGTTAATCATTGCTAAACCACTGCTGCCAATGCAAGTTAAAATAATATCCTTCACTTTATAGATGCACAAATTGGATCAGATAGAAATCTGAAATTGCCATTGAGACCATACAGACTGTTTCTTACCATGTACCTGCAGCAAACACGTAAGTCTCTGAGTCAAAGGCCCTCAGCCACAAGTCTTTGCTATCTAAAACATTTCAAATTGAAGCGTAGACCCTACGTGGCAAAAAAATGCATTGACTGACTGCAGAAACCTAGGTTTCTTTTAAGAAGCATTCCAAGAACTTATACTTGTCTGTCAACTGGAAAACACTGTTTGAAGTAGAATATTTTTATAAAAGAGTCATTTCAATGCTTTAAATCAAGTTTATGCTCAATGACATGTTTATTTTGCTGCTTAAAACCCCACATTTTTATTAATTTTTTTTTAGATTTACTTTTTTATTTTAAAAAAACCCACCAAACATCTTCACTGATCCTGCAGCAAACAGAACACTTAAATCTTTTCTTATAAGACTTCATTACCCAAAGATCTGGTATGTAGCAGTTCTTAGATTTGTAGAAAGATCACTGGCACTACTGAAAGCTTCCTTTTAGTTCCTGTACAAGCACAAGGAGAAACTGAATAATTGGTCAATTATTCTGATGGGAAAAAAAAAATTATCTATCATTCTAGCAACCGAAACTGATTTGCTTGTACCCGCTCTCTTCAGTGTGCAACACTGGGCGTCTCCCAGAGCTGACAAATTAACGTTTGAGTAGTATCATGATGAAGCATTCCCTCAAAAAGGAAGTATGACAAAAAGCTGTTTCCTGTTTTCTGCAAACTGTGTGGTCACATTATTCACAACGTAACTAACACCAGCTTAAGTTTGTCTACTGAGAAAGCACTTGTTTTCACATACTGAGATACTCAATCATAAGTAAAAATACAAACAAAAAAACTACCAAAAAACCCCCAGGAAAACTGTTATGTAAAAATCCATATGCTTTCTCTTTCTATAAATACTTGCTCTTTATTGTTCACATAGGTCTAGCCTGTGCTTATTCATTCAAGGTATTTTTTTTTCATTGATAAATTGTCATTCAAGGTATTTTTTTTTCTCCCCAAGAGACTTCCTTTGTCTCCCCTTACACTGATGTTGTTGTTAGCGTGACACTAGTCGAATGCATTTGGTATGCCAGTTGTATGAAGTCTCCGCATTGCTGTTGCCATTTCATGAAAGAACTGGCTTCATTAAAGACAGAATACAGTGAATTTCTTGATTAATTGTAAATGGGGAATACTAGGACCAGGCAAAAACTGGAGAAGCTCTGAGCTAGTAAAACTGAACTGCAGTCAGGGGTTGGCTAGGTATACAACCTTTTTGTAAAGCAAAGGGGTGGGTGGGAAGCCCACATATTCCCAGGATCCCTAACTCTTCAAAGATTATGTTTTCCCACATTTTCCCACTCTCCTGTTATTCCTTCCCTCATCCTTCATCATTGTTCAGAAAGCTATGCAGCTGCTGTGAACTGGGCACATGGTAGCACAAACAAATCTGAAGGGTGGAACAGTGCTGCCCCATGATGAGTCAGCACATGCCTATTTCTGAAGTGAAATAAGCTTTTACTTCACACTGGAGAAATTTAAATAGCCCTTGAAAGAAACAGGTCAGTACATCTCAGACAAGCGTAAACTCCAAAATAAAAACACCCCTGAAACAGGATACCAATATAATGGTAAAATATTTCTTATTATCACTTATGACTCAAGCTAAGCTAGCTTATTCATGGCTACTGGCCACGTACTACACAGAAAAAATAAGTACTAGAACATTCACTGGAACAGTCAACGTTGCAGTAGTTAAGATCAAGAAGCACAATTTTTTTTTCGTAGAAGCATCTGCCCTAGTAAACTGCTTATAGTTCCAAGATAATCTGAGGATATAGCAACAACACTCCATTTACTAGTTAGTTAATTAAGAGACTCCTAAATGAACTAGCCATTTATCAATGTAATTAATAACTCTAACATTTATTAATGTTTCAGGTTACTCTAATTTGTACAAAGCATGTATTTTAGTGCTATGAGTTGCTGAATGAAAAGTTTAGTTAAGTTTTAGGTACAGACAAGCAGAAATAATGTTCTATGCATCTGAATACCACTTGCAGTCATCAATAAAAGATGAATTAATAAAAGAATTAATGAAAGCCATGATTTTATTGTTCCCAGTAGCTTCATGTGCAATAAAAAAGTCAGTAGTTAACAGATTTCTGCGTAAAGTACAGCAATCATGCCAACCAAGAGTTCTGACACATTTTAAGTTCATTTAAAATGCAGAAATGCAAACATCAACCCAGAAATTCTCCCCTCCAACCCACTGGACATCAAAATTTAGATTGGGGGGAGGGAGGGGAATTATTCTTTTTAATTAATTTTGTCCAATTCTCTTTGTTAAGTAAACCACGCTGCCTTTAAACTCCAAAAATCCCAAGTTTTTTACCACTTTCCTACTTTCCTACTGTATATAATGTTCAAAATGCAGGGATGTTAAACTTGAGATTAACAGATCCCAGATCAAAAGACAATCCACTTTTTGAAATGAACCTTCCCCCCCCCCCTTTTTTTTTTTTAAACACCATCTCTGTCTAAGGCTCTTTGTACCTATGCTATTTCACCCTCAGAGAGCAGCTGAGAGAACTTGAGGTTTTTTAGTACGTGAGTTCTGCCAGTGAAGGAGGACTGTTCCGTGACCTTACATTTATGAAACTCTTTTCCTTCCTGCTTCAGAAGTACATTAGAATTTTCTCCTTTGAACTGACTGTGCATTCAGACTGTGCATATGTATTCTACAATTTTAACTTCCGTCTCTTTGGTCCGTCTAGTTTATCTCCCCCCCCCAATGTGAATAGCACTATATGTGTCTAGGTATAAACTATTTCACTAATAGAAAAAAGTGCCAAAAATAAAGCCAAGCTTATAAAAAAGGAGAGGCAATATGATTAAGTGCTCTACTGCATAGAATATATAGTTCCTCCTACAAAGCAAATATTCTGCAGGGAATCTTTAAGCCAATAACGACCCATGAAAATTTTTATTTTTTCTGAGCGTCTGGAAGTCACTGCATATTGGTAGAAAGTATCAACAAGGGGGAACAGATACTCATGAGATCTTAAATTGCATTTTTAAACTAAAGGCTATCATTCTTTAGAACTCTCAAATTCATTAACAAAATCTACAGAGCTACAGAAGTAAGCTGACACATAAACAAATGGTATTGCAAATTCAATACCTAATATTGACATTTATAAATATTTTATTAAAAATGTAATTACTTATACGTATTAAATAAAAAAATAAATTCTAATACAGCTTGGCCATCTGATTAAGAGTTACATTAGACAGTATATTGCAGTATGTAATTTGGATTCATCTAACAGATAAAAGCACTAGCTATGCTACTCACAAGACATAATGACTCAGCACCTTCACTAATTTTCTTTCTGCAACCTTTGAACAGTTACTGTCACAGAAGTAAAATTCCTGAGGTTATGATTTATTTTGCCAAAAGGTCTCCAATATAATGAAGCATATTCAAAACAACCTTGACAACTGTAACACAGGATACTAACTTCCCAACAACTGCCGTTACATTGGAATCATACCTTAACTTCCAAAGAGGACAACATACAAGCACAATATAGTTGTTTATGTAGACACTTCTACAGAAAAAAAAAATTCCAAAGATGCTATGTATGCTAACTGCCTGAACCACTTCTGTCTTCAAAATGATTCTACAATCAAATAGGTTTTATGTTTTTAATAATTGAAGTACATGTTTTAGAACCAGACATTTAATTTCAAGCCAGTTTTTGCATACCTCTTTTAAACCGTCTTTTTATGCAAAATAGAAACTGCCGACATAGGAACGTGTTTTAGGCAACCATTAATGCTCTTACTATATTTCATTTTAGAGAATCAAACTCCTCTATTCCTTTGTCTGAACAGGATACTTGATTTTAAAAAAACAGCTCTAAAATTCTCCTGTTCATGTCATTAAAACCAGATTAGCATAATCTTGGCTGCTGTGCATCACTTGAACACGTCATTAGCTTCAGTTCTAAATAAGAATATGTAAGCCCAGGAACTAATGTTAAGTTACTGCATTCTACTAGTTCCAATAGTTACTCCATTATGTTTCCTAGACTTAATTAGTAAATACAATATGCAGAAACCAACAGCAAAAGGCATTGAATTCTGCATTTAAACTACAGATGTGAAGCTAAACAGAAAAAATTGTGAATTATATACACTCTGCTGTATTGCTTTAGAGTGGGAAGAGAAGTGTGGACATACCAAGCTGTTTCTAGACTGTAGAAGGGCAAAGCGCAGGAAGTGTTCTGCTAAGTACTCACCCTCTTCGTGCCAGTGTTTAATCAGTGGTGCTGACAGATTGTCAACTGAAGTCTGAACTGGGAAGAGCAGTAGTCAAAGCACAGCAACACAAACAGTATCTGGAATAGCAGGGGATACGTGAACTAGGAATGACATGCTTTGGAGAAGGTGCATCAGTTTCAAAAAAAGCTTTCCCATCTTCAGAATGAAGCATCTGGTACCTGCCATCAGAGCACCCATCTTGGCGCTGGAAGGCCACCTCTGGCATTCTGCTCAACTGAACTGAACTTGGCATTTTAATCTCCCAGACAGTGCTCTGGACTAGATTTTTATTTTTTTTTTTAAACATGCCAATCACTTCTGATTTTCTTATTGTTTCCCTGAAAAGATTATTAGCTTAATATAACCCATCTGCCAGGGCAGCCACATTGTAAAAGCCCAAGGTTCAAGTAATTAGTCGGGAACAAGCAAAGATGGCTTCCTCTATCTCAGTCAAGCATACAGCTAATTAGTCACTGAGTACTCTTGATCTGCTAACCTGAGATGATAACAAGCTTTGTATTATACTAGCTTATTTTAAAAATATTTACACAGAAATAAGTGTAAGCGTTGGACATACTTGAGCGATCACTTGCTTTTCAAAGCTGGCATTAAATTTAAGGAATTCTAACAAGCTGCTGACAAGCAGCTCCTTTTCTATTTTATACATTATACTGAAATATGAAAAGATACAAGTCAGGAGATATACAAATAACCGACAGGAAA